GACATTTTTTCAAACAAGACAAATCTTGTTTAATATTAATAACACATATATATATGCCTAAGAAAAGAAAACTATTATACATTTAAATATATATTCACATACTAGTGCGACTTAATTAAGTCTTTTATTAATTGTTCTATTCACAACATGCACAAATTGTACTCTTTTATTAATGACGCATTATGTAAATTTTATAAAGGTTTAAGTATATGATAAACGAATAAGGAGATTTATTTCCTAAATTAAAATCATTTATTTATCGGTCGACAACAAAACGTAATATATTAATTAATCTTTAGGAATTTAGTATATAATGCATTTGATAATTTAGTTAATTATAATCCTCAAAGCCCATAGGTTTTGATTTAAGGAGTATAGCTCCTCAAATATTATAATAATAGCCAAATTACAGTTAAACTTTTATAAATTAATACAGTAAGGACTAGGGAAATTCTATTAATTTAGGGAATTATTGAATTATCGAGTTAATAATTTAACTAATTTTCACCGAATCAAGACCGATAGAAACTAGTATTTGATCGAGGTTATTAATTTATTGAGTATTAATATATAGAGGTTCTGCTGTAGGTCCAATATTATTTTCTCATTAGACACAAGTTCTACTCTTTGAGTAGTTCTAATACTATTCTCATCTTCATCTTATAAGATCCCAACGATTACCTCATCTTCACCGACGACGTCGACAAAGTACCACCGTCGGGACTTCGGACATCAAACAAGTACACCGTGGCGAAGGCACCACCATATGGACATAAAAAACATCCACCACAGTCGAGCAGTCTGGACATCTAAACATCTCCACCGCTGTCGATGAACCACTGTCTGGCTTCTAACACCTCCACCGCCGCAACTAAATAGCCCTGCTCTCATGAAACCGATAACTATTTTGTAACAGTTTACGTGATCGACTATAATCAATTAATAAATCAATCATGTTTCTTTTATAGTCTATTTATTGTTTTTAGTTCTAATATACACATGAACATTTTAATCAACTATAGTATTAATAAATCAACTACACAAGCATGAATATTTTAATCAACTATAGTATTAATAAATCAACTACACAAGCAGCGTAGTCGATTTATGTCCGATTTAGTCCAGAATTTTGCAAAAAAACATAAGGTAATCTAGAATTTGTTAAAAAACATAAAAATGTTGTTACCACTAATTATATCCAAATGGTGTGCATATCTCAATGCAATTTCAAGACGAGGGTTTTCACTAATTTACCCTCGATTTAATCCATAATAATCAACAACATATATGCACCCTAACAACCCATCAAAACACAGAATCAATTGTCTCCTAGATAGATTAATGATAATGACAAGGATTGTGATTAATTAATGTGGCGGTCCAACCCATTAAGCCCGGTTTAGTGTCACTTAATTAACCTAGTTACTTGCCGGTTTACCATTGGTTAATTACAATCTACACACCACCAATCATATTAGTTAGTGGCCTAATTAAATGATGCTTTCTTATTTGTGTTTTGTCTTTTTTCCAAGTGTGTGATCACATAAAAAGGGATTAAGGTGTGGACTAAAAGCAACCTAATGACGTGTTACATGGTGATTAACTTTAGATTAAACAATTCCCTAATGTTAATCACTTTAATTAACCCTAAGGGGATGGATTTAACCTTTTTATCATTTCTTTAATGACAGTCGGTCTCTTGAAAACATGTAATCATGTATATTAGGTCTTCGATAATGTTAGAATTAATGATAACATCCAAAATATTACGGGTCATATGTGTTGTAATTAAACATAAATAGTTCCATAATATTACAGTAAAATCCAAATATTTTAGGTGGAATTCTGAAGAAAGATGGAGAGGGGTAAGACAATAATAAATGAGTTATAAAGTATAAAATTGAAACTCAAATTAATAAATATAGTACTCCTTATCTCTCTGTTTCACAATAATTGTATGTTTTTAAAAATATTTTTGTTTCATATTATCTGTCACTTTAGATTCTCAATACTGCATTAAATGCATTTTTCCTGTTTTAACCTTATTAATGAAACTCTAATCATTAAATTTCTCTTATAAATCATTAAATAATAAAGGTTGTTTTAGTATTTTTATATGATTTTTCTAAAATCAAGATATATTTATTGAGTTTCTTAATCTTTGTGAAAAGTGATAAAAAAAACACTTATTTAGGAACGGAGGGAGTACATGAATAGAGTTGATTTGTCGTTATTACTCGATCAACCAATTTTTTAGCATATTCCAATTATAGACTTATCTATATATACATGAGTTTGTTACATTATTGACCAAACTTTGATAAATTGGCTGATGGTTGATTATCCATAAAAAAAAAACTATAGATCACAAATATAAGTAATACAACCCATAATCAGCCCGTTCTAGTACTAAATGTTGCAATGCAACTTTGTAAAATAACTATAAACCTCAATGGTTAATTGCAATTTCAATTTCAATTTCTCACACAATATACTTTAATTTTTTTAAATTAGAAATATTAATGACAATTGTAATTTTTTTTTTAATTTAGAAATGAATAAACTCTGAATCATGAATGAATGGACAATATTAGTGGGGTTTCTACCATGCTTTATTGTCTAGTAGAATGACTTGGCTTATTTTTTTTATTATTTTTTATTTTTATTTTAAAGATTTGTGGTCCAAATTGGGTTAATTTGTATGGAAAATTGAAGACCGTGAGGAATGGGGTGAGATTACATTGAGATTTTGTTTGAGGATTAAAATAATATTTTGCCCCACTTTGTGGATGCAATAATAAATAAAATAAATAAATAAAATTAGGAAGAAAAATAAGCTGCAATCCTTAGTAAACTTTCCACCTGAACTCCACTAAAGGACACAAGAACTTCACCCCATCTCCAACAAAAAAGTAGTTGCACAATTAATGATGTTTTTTATACAAAATTAAATAAAATAAAAAAAGGAAGAAAAGATGACATGGCAATGTGTGAGATAAGAAAAAAAAAAAAAGATACCAATATTTTGAAAAAAAAAAGAAATTTTGTTCAAGAAAAACGTGGATAGTTTAAAAACAAAATACTTTACCAGTATTTTATTTATTATTTTCAAAATTGGTTGCACTAATTGATTTTCGAAATTTGATATTTTTCCCTTCAAACCGAGTCATAAGAAAAGATAGGTTATACCGTTATATAATTCGGTTCGTTCGGTATGAAAATACTTCCTCCTCCGTTTACAAGCGTCGTATGGTCGAAAAGATCACAATTTCTAGAGGAAAAACCAAACACCTCTCCATTAAAGGAAAAAAATTACTCATTTTGTTTCATAATAAATGTCATTTTTAACAAAAAAAATATCATATTATTTGTTACTGTAGATCTCTCTAATCCTACATTAAATGCATTTGTTTCCCTATTTTAACCTTATTAATTCAACTATTAACATTAGTTCTATCTTGTAAATCATTCAATGATAAAGGCTTTTTTCAGTCTTTTTCGATGTATTTTTTCCTAAAAAACCAAGCTACAGTTGTTGAGTTTCTTAATACTTCTACAAATGTGAAAAGAAACGCCTATTAACGAACAAAGGGGGTAATAATCTCTCATTATTTTAGTTGTAGCCTCCCGCTAGTGTCCACGTATTAAAAACAAATTAATAAATGTGCAGGGAATATAGATACTTGAAAATTTTTACTAAATTGACTAAAACACCCCTACCGTTAATTGTTTCGCCATTAATTATCTTTCAATTCAAATTCTGAAGTGACAAATAATTTGAAAAAAAAATAAAATATTAATGAATGGATTTTATTGAAGTACCAAAAAATCCCATAGGAAGAATCATTGAAGTATTAGATGCCATATTTGAATGACTGCTCACTGAATTTCCCATAAACAACCAAAAAAAAAAAAAAAAAAACCAAAAGTGGGAGACAAAAACTTGTTATGACTGCTGAAAGATTTGGTATCTGTTTTATGTCATCTACAAAACATTTAACTATTTGCACACTAACTCTAAAAGTTCTTCTTATGTTTTGCCTTTTTAGACCACATTTTAATTAATTATTAATTAATTAAATAAAAATATAAAATATATAATATATAATAAAATGGCCATCATTCTGCCCCCTCATCAGCTTTCTCTCATGTAATAATAATACTGATTTTAGGACAGAATAATATCTCTGCTACAATCCCACATCACACTGAATCTACCCTCAAGTACTCATCCAAATTCACAAGATTTGATCCCCCCCCCCCCCCCCCCTTTTTTTTTTCTTGCTTTTCTGCATGGATTAAATTATTTTTTTTTTTTATATTAAAAAAAAATTGGGTGTTTTATTTTTTTTAACTGTGTAAAAAAAATTACGCGGTAAGAATGAACGAAGGAACGAAGAGTTGAAAACGATACCGTAAACGTGTCCGTTTGCAGTGTAAAGTGATGGGGAAAAAAAGAAAGAGAAGACTTTGGAGGATAAATAGTCTTCTTATCACTCAACTTTCCCATGCCAAACACATTTAAGCAAAAATAGGTCCACAAAAATAAAAATAAAAATACAATTAATATACAGCAACAATTAATTAAATAAATAAATAAAGTGTGCAGTCACGTGCCATATGGACCTGGTCTGAGAGCCAAGTATGTCTGCTAAAACAACCTTAGTCCCTCTCATGCAAATCTTTGAATTCGGATTCGCCGTGTTTGCTTTATAGACAAGTAACGGCTGCTTATCGAAACGAATGGAAACAATTGTTTCCAGCTCCCCGAAAACACGGTTAAGTTTAAGGTGGTCAAGGAAATTTCAATAATAGTGGATGGGCTACAACAAATTTCAGAATTTTAAATAAAAATTTTAAAAAAAAAAAAAAAAAAAAAAAAAATGATAAAAAATGCGCTTTTCATTCCATAAATGGCAAGATTATCCTTAACATCGTAAACGAGTTGGGATTAAAAGATAATCTTGTCTTTAATTGAATTTTTGAGAAAAAAAAAAAAAAGGGGGTTAATGAAATGGTGTGGCAACTGTATGCAAAAAAGCAACAAGATCTATGAAAATCTTTCTTCCTTTCTTGTGACACTTTTTGTTCTTCCCACTTCAACTTGGAGAATATATATAGTTGTGTTTGTTTCTATTTGCAAAACCAAAAAATACATCTTCTAAATTAAATAAATAAATTTCAAAAAAAAAATAAAATATTATCACTAGTTATATATTTCTCCCATAAGTAGCCAGTCTTCTTACGGATTCTCGAAAAAAAACCTCTCTTTAAATCTTTTAAAATCCCCCTTCTCCATTTCAATTTCTTCGTCCCACATAACCATTTCGAAAAATCGAAGACGAAGAAAAAAAAAACGTAATCTCGTACCTTCTTAACTTCTAGAAGCCAAGAAAGATGATCATACATAAGCCGTCGATTTCGTCTGCGAAACAAAGCAACGTTGTTTTCAGCCGAAGCTGCACGGTTTTGTTACTATGCTGCATTTCGATCAAACTAAGCCTCTCTTTCTCTATCGTCCCGTCGTCTTTGAATTCGCTCAATCTCCACGGCTACTTCACTTTCGAGAAGAACGAGTTCGCGGCGAGAGATTTCGGAAACCAATTCCACTCCCTCCCTCTCGCGGTCCTCCACCCCAAGAAAGTGTCCGACATAGCTTCGACGATACGGCACGTGTGGCAGATGGGCCCCACTTCGGGCTTGACCGTCGCGGCCCGAGGCCACGGCCATTCACTCCAAGGACAAGCGCAGGCGCCGCAAGGGATCGTGGTCAACATGGAATCTTTGACCGGGCAAGAAATGCAGATCCATAACGACGGAGTGTCCCCTTACGTGGATGTCTCGTCGGGAGAGCTGTGGATTAATATCCTGCACGAATGTTTGAAGTACGGGTTAGCACCGAAATCTTGGACCGATTATTTGCATCTAACTGTCGGAGGCACTTTGTCTAATGCTGGGATTAGTGGGCAGGCGTTTAGGCATGGCCCACAAATTAGTAACGTTCGTCAGCTCGAAGTCGTCACAGGTTTGTACCGTTCATTACAAAACAAAAATCGAATTACATAAAAATTTCGCAATAAAAGATCATGGTCTAATAAGTAATATTTGTGTAACGAAACGCTAATGCAGGAAAAGGAGAGGTGGTCGTTTGTTCGGAGGAGAAAAATGCCGATCTTTTTCACGGCGTACTCGGCGGGCTAGGGCAGTTTGGTATTATAACACGGGCGAGGATTTCGCTAGAGACGGCACCGAAGATGGTAATTCAAGAAACATTATCCACTAATGACGACTCGTGTTTTTTTTTTGGGTCGGAATTTTAAAAATCGAAAACTAATGTTTGTCCGTCTTACAGGTGAAGTGGATTAGGGTGCTGTATTCGGATTTCTCCACTTTCGTGAGGGATCAAGAGCACTTAATATCTTCGGAAAAGACGTTCGATTACGTGGAAGGCCTTGTTATAGTAAACAAAACCGGTCTCATAAATAATTGGAGGTCGTCTTTTAATCCACAAGATCCAGAGCAAGCTAGTCGATTCGTATCGGACGGAAAGACGCTGTTTTGCCTCGAACTAACGAAAAACTTCGACCCCGACGAAGATACTGACACGGACAAGGTGAAAAACTTTTACAGTTAGTGCACACAACACAACAAACACATAAGAAAAAAGGTGCTAATGTACGATTTTTTTGGGGATTCTTTTTTCTTTCGAATATGCAGGAAATTGAGAGGTTATTGTCGGAATTAAGCTACATCGAATCGACGTTGTTTGTGACGGAAGTTACGTATGTAGAATTCTTGGACAGGGTGCATGCAGCAGAAATGAAACTTAGGTCAAAAGGGCTATGGGATCTTCCACACCCATGGCTTAATCTTCTTGTACCAAGAACAAATATTCATACATTTGCTGAGGGTATTTTCGGCAATATTCTTACAGACACAAACAACGGCCCTGTTCTTGTCTATCCAGTCAACAAATCAAAGTAAGAAACAAAACATTTTAAAAAAACAATCTTTTTTGGGCAAATTAAGCCAACCCTCAAGTATGACCAAATTACGAAAAATAAACTTGGGTAATTACATTTATAGCCACCCCTCCTTTTAAGTATTTTTACATAAAATTTATGTAATTCATATATTTACTGAACCAAATCGTATTTTAAGTTCGATAAACGGTATGAAATGTTGGCGTGCCAAAATTTCGGTTCAATTTTACTGATTTAATATTCCTAAAAATTTACATCTGGAGGGGTATTTTCGTAAGATAATACATATTTAAGGGGTGACTGTAATTACCCAAACAAGTGAGAAATTTTCGTAATTTGACCATAACTCAAGGCGGACGTAATCAGATTCAGAATTCGAATTCAGACAACTGATTTTTAATGATTTTTTTTTTTGGTTTGCAGATGGGACAACAGAACATCATTTGTAACACCAGGAGGTGAAGAAGAAGGGGAGGATATTTTTTACCTAGTGGCTTTTCTTCCGGCGGCGGTTCCCTCCGGCGGCGGCGGCGGCGGAAATGGCAGCTTGCAGAATCTGTTGAATCTGAACAAGAGAATATTGAATTTCTGCGAAACGGAGAAATTGGGGGTGAAGCAATATTTGCCCTACTACACGACGCAGGAAGAGTGGCGGGCCCACTACGGGCCGCGGCGGTGGGAGGCGTTAGTGCAGAGGAAATCGGCGTATGATCCTCTGGCAATACTTGCTCCGGGGCAGAGGATTTTTCAGAAATCCATATCCGTTTTATAGAATCTGCAGGCAGAGATCGGAGAGCAGAGAGAAAGAAACCTAATGTGTAAATTATTTTACATATTCAATAGTTTTTTTTGGCAACCTTCTCAAGAACTGTAAGTAAGAAAAACACCATTACCAAAAATGTAGTACTCAAAACAGATAATTCAAAATTTATTATTATTGATATTCTTCAAAATTTTCATCCAATGATCATCTTGTTTAAAAAACTGGAGTTCGAATAGGGTAAAACGGAGTACAAAGTGAAGAATATTTCACATAATCTAGAAGATTTTACTATATTTGATATCTCATGTAAGAAGATTTAGAGTTGATGGGTAGTTGTAATTATCCAACATAAAGAATTTTTTATAATTTGACATTATCTCAGGTCGGTAGCCGTAATTTACCCTTATTTTAAGCGCCCGATGCAAGGCAAAACAACTTAAAGGCTTAAAACAAACTCTTGCATGATATTTCCACAAAGGTTTCCAATTCTACCTAGTAAGTAGTAACTTAGGCAATGTTTGGAAGCGTTTTGAATCTTATTTTGATTTCATTTTGAGGAAATATGTTTTGGGGGAATAATTTGAGAATGAAAGTAATGTTTGTTTGTATTTTGGAAGGAGACAAAATACACTGTAGAAGTCAAATCATGTTTAAAGGTGTTAGAAAAAGGTATTTTTGAAGAAAAAAATTGAAAGATGAAGTGATGTTTATTTGTTTTTTAGTGAAGACATTTTTTACTGTACCAGTCACATCATTTTACTGTAGCAGTCACATCATGTCTGAAGGAGAGAGAAACTTTTGAAATTGTTTTGAGAAAATGATTTGAAAAGTGTAATAAATCCCATTTTGTTTTGGGGAAACAATGAAAACAAAACAAAAATGCTTCCAAACATTAAAATGTGCGACAAAATGTTGTCGTTGGTGACGGCCTGCCTCTATTATCGAATTGCATTCCAATATTCCATCAAAATATATGTTTTGTAAGCTTCTGAGTTTGTTTGTGTTTTGAGAGGAGATAATTTGTACTGTAGCAAGTCAAATCATGTCTGAAAGGTGTTGGGAAAAAGTATTTTGGAAGAAGAATTTAAAAGATAAAGTGATTTGAATTTGTATTTTAGTGAAGACAATATTCACTGTAGCGGTCAAATCATGTTTGTTAGAGAGAGAAATATTTGAATTTGTTTTGGGGAAAGTTTTTTAAAATAGTGTAGAAAGATAATATTCATTTGGGGAAAGTGTGAAAAGAATTTGAAAATGGTAACAAACATAGCCTCAATTTTTGGAGCCCTAATCTTCGTTCCAGTTTCATAATCATGATCCCTAATTCTTATTGTCAATCTATCTACTTATTACTTTTTCCCCCATTAGGCGGGTTTTGGTTCGTTGTCAATTTGTATTATATTTATGATTTCAGCGATTTATTTTGGTGCGGGGTCCTAGCCTAACCCGCGCCGTACTGTCGCTTTTTGGCTTAGGAAATATATATGTATTCCCTTCCATAAAAAAACTTGCTTTGCTTAGTATGGATGTCTTGAAAGATTTTTTGCCAGATTACGATTAATATGATGATAGTGGCCATAACTAACGTGATGTTAGAGATTTGAGGTTGATAAATGACTTCCTAGGGATGGACGTGTATGGTTATTCGGTGGTTAAGTATGGGATGCACGAGCATTGATTGAGAATGACGCTTTTTAGAAAACTCAGTTTTACTTACCTTCTAAAATGTAGCTAGAATATGAAATGCTCTATAAAATATATCATAACCGTAGTATTAAACCAATTTCACCATCATTTAGGGACAGGTGAAATACTACATATCCAAGTAAAATTTCATTTGTAAATCAACAAAACAAACTTCTAGACGCAATAAAGCACATAGATTTGTTATATCAAAATAAAAAGTCTAATGTATGTTGATATACTCCATGTTATTGAAAGTGTGCCTTCTTCTTACCCATGATGCGAAATCCGGCAATAAGCCGGTACTTGAAGCAAACTCGAACATAATAGTAAATGTCGCCCCCAACTTGTTAGATTGGATCTCTCCCCCAAAATAAACAACAAATAAAGCTCCCCGACTCTACAAATAATCAAGAAACAAGAAAGAAAAATGAAATGAACAAAAGTAATTATTTTTACGATCAACAATGAGCATGGAAGTCAAACAAGGGTTGTTGTTACTCTCTCTATTTCGGTAACCAACACTTATCTATCCAATTGTATTCAAGGAAATAAACAACAAATAAAGTTCCCCGACTCTACAAATAATCAAGAAAACAAGAAAGAAAAATAAAGTAAACAAAAGTAATTATTTTTACGATCAACAATGAGCATGGAAGTCAAATAAGGGTTGTTGTTACTCTCTCTATTTTCGTAACCAACACTTATCTATCCAATTGTATTCAAGTTTTTATTTAGTTGGTGGACAATTAGTTTTGTTTCGAAGATTGGTTTTAAGAATTTTATACATAATATAGAAATCACACTTGGAAAGGGGTGCTGTAGCAAAATTGATTGCAAAAAAGGGCAAATCGGCCACATTAAAATTAACTCAAAAAAGGGCAAATCGGCCACATTAAAATTAACTTCTGCGAAGGTCCATTTGATATCCAAAAACTGCTTAGCAGAAAAGTTTGGATAGATCCAGATCCGTCGTCCTGCCCAACTTTTTTTTTTCAGAGTTAAAAAATATAAATTAAACTCTTTAAGCTTTTATTCTATATATATATATATAATATATATATATATATATATATATATATATATATATATATATATATATATATATATATATATATATATATATATATATATATATATATATATATATATATATATGATCATCTAAAGTACTCATATCCTATTTTTTAATGTGTTATAGATAAAACCGTTTTTTTTCCCCTAATTTTATTCGATACTACCATTAAAATACTTAAAATTTTTGTGCCAAGCGCATAGTTTTTTGGAAACAAATACTAATACAAAATCAAACCTAGTGTTAGATAAAATCCAAGGTACCACAATCATTTGAAGTAACTATACTCTAACTAAGGCTCTCGTTATGGATCTTAAAATCGGTCTTAAAATCGCTCGAGATTTTGAGATTGAACGTTTGATTGTCGAAACTGATTCTTGTTTTCTTTTATCTTGTTTTATCAGGAACAAAATATTCCACATCAAGCTAACAACTCTCATGGAGGACGCGAGGAATCTACTGCATGAATTTTGAAGTGTCCGCATCACATTCGGATATAGAGAAACAAATAGTGTTGCTAATGCACTTGCAAAAATGGAAACGTCTCTTTTAATTAACCATGTTTGTACTTTTGATAATCCACCCCAGTTTCTCCTTGATCTTTTGGCTAAAGATAAGGATACTTTATATATACGCAAAACCAGTAAACCTTGTACTAAAACTCTTTTGCTTATGTAATATATGAAGTATTTTGCTTGTTCAAAAAAAAAAAACTATACTCTAACTAAAATCCAAGAATAAAAAAAACACGATAAAAGCATTTTTTACTAAATCAATTCGACAATCGAATACAGAAAAATGTGCATAAAAACATGATAGAAAGGTGCAAAATGTAAGAGTTCAAATCAACTATTGCATGACAGTAGAGAAAAGTAGTGAACATTATACTTGAGAAGATAAGCCACCACCATCTAATCTAATATAGGAGGATCTTAGCCTTCCTGTACAGACTACAGAGTATCTTTATCGCTTGTTGCTTTTACGGTGACAGTATCGAACGATGTTGGTTTTATCGACACCAAACAAGAAAGTCAACAAACTCTCAAACGTCCTTTTATCATTGCAAAATTTGAAAAGAAAATAAAGCAAATTAATTTAGTGGCCCTCTTGCCACAGGTTCACTTTCGCAGTTACAGCGGCAAATACGGCAAACCCCGTTTCTGTTAATTCATGAGTAGTGCATTGACGATTCAGACAAGTACAACACAAGCACTTTCCTCATAATAACCAAAATGCCACTTTCAAGAAGATTCGTAACACGCTTATTTTACTGACTTCGAGAACAGACATAATTGTAACAAGATTGCACAGCGTACTCGTTTCCTTTTAATTGCATTGTACTGCTCACATGATCATTTCCAGATCATATTCAGTGGTCGAGACAACATGGAGCAACGGGGGGCCATCACCCCCCACTGCTTCTCAAAAACCCAATATTTTATATAGTATTTGTGCCCAAAAGAATCATGCGAAAACAATTACTATTTTTAATAGGATCAAGTATTCATGCCTAAGGATCAAGTATTTATCCAGAAAAGGGCTTCTAATAATGAATGTATCTAGTGCAACTTATGCTTATTTACTGGTTATTTCTCGGTGTTCGAAACATTATTCAACTTTCCAACTGTAAAAAGCTGGCAAAAATGATGAGCTCAATTGAAAAATGTGGAACACAGACTAGTATCTCCGAAAATATTATGCATCATTACAGCTACAATCTCCGTACTAGGAACCCGTCTTTCTATACGTGAGTATGTAATAAATACACAAGGGAGTGAGTGCAATTATTGAGAATCGTTGAAAAAATTACCCCAAAAAATAAATTCAAAATAAACATTCTTCAAATAATAAGATGTTTCATATGCTTAAAAAACGAGAAGGAAAAACTTGGGGTTGTTAAAAAAACTTCAACGAGTTTGACTATATTGTAGTTACTTAGCAGCTAAATTGCTTCTTACGTTCGATTTACCGCTATTTTTTTCACTAAGCTCGTTGGTACTATTTGCATGCAATTAATAACGAATAAGATTTCATTCTAACTAGTCCGATTCTACTCCATGATTCTACTGTCATTTTACTACACCATTTGATCCTGCTACAAAAAGTCGAAACTGCAACAAATTAATATTACGACTACCTTTCTCCTACAACTTCATAATCACTGTAACAAATTCAACTCAAACCTAATTCATTCACCTTTTATTCTTTCCTTTTTTGTCTCTTTTCTGAAACATAATACAGTGGAGGTCTACTGGCTGAAAAAATCGGACTTCTATTTCAATAAAACAATCTACAGTTAATTACGGAGCATCGCTATCAAACGAGACACCATACATCGACATTTCTTGATTGTGACTTAGCATAATATCGTTACCACAAGCCCAAAGTAACACTGCATGTGCTCAACTACATTACTTATCCTATTAATGGGCAAAGGCCTAACTTTTACTGTTCTTGGATCCATCAATCGGTCTAAGCTAAAAATCAATGGATGTAATGCTTCGTTAAGTAACTGCTCGAGCATATAAAAAAAAAGTTCGGACATTACACTTTAATAAGTGGTATTCATGCTGTCATTCTTTCCGTTTAATGCCGAGCATCTTTGTACTCCAGAAAGTCGTAATCATTTTGCAACGTACAGTTAAGTTTTGAAGTTTTGCTAATTTACATTAAAATGGGAGACTCGAAAATAGAAACACACCTCGTAATCTGCATCATGCAGCAAAATTCGCAGCCACTGCACGCCAAACAGAGACAGCGAGCAGGATCCATGTTCTACAGAGCTGCAGCAAATATCAATTTCTCTAGAATATAATATGCTTATTATCATCATCACGCATCTTACGAACCTCATCGACAATACAGTTTGAAATAAAGAAAGGCATATAAATAAAATAAAATAAAATAAATAAAAAAAGAGTTGAAGTTTATAGAATATTATCAACACGAACAATAGTATATGAATTGAAATATTTCAACAATGTCTAATAATGTTAATATCGAGGTCACCACCCTAAAGAGCGCAAATGAATATCAATATTTTCACATAACGCAACACAAATTTCTTCAACCATTTTGTTCGACAAAACCTCTTGCATGAAAAATCAACCAGTATGGTAACTTACCGAAGCAATGCTAATACGTATCCTTCCTTACCACTTGCTTCCAAAAACAAATATTTTAGGCTCATGCATACAAAGCTATGCTCTTACATACGAACATTTATTGAACTGACAAAGATAACCACTGAAGACTGATTCCAGTTTAGTAAATTTACATTCCAACAAAATAATTTGATTTGCATTGATAATACTTCATAAGGAAGCCAAATAAAACAAGTTCAATTGATTCTCGATTCATGCAGAATAAAAGGTAGAAAGAGCATTAACTTATTCGTACACGAAGCATTAACCAAATAATCCCCGTCATACCACAAATATGCACAGAGTTCTATTTGTTTGTCCTCCAACATAATTTAATATGAGTTCTATACATATGTGTTTTGAGAAGCTTGTTCTTTTTCTAAAAAAAGTAGGAAAGTATTCGGTGCATTTTTTATTAATAATTCTACCGTTTATATGATAAATGAAGGGTATCATTGCAAGAAAGAGACGTAAATCTGAACTTATTTCCTAAAGAAAGTCAACACGGACATCCTTTGTGAGATGGATTAACGGATAAGACTTACTCATAAAAACAACATATGCCGATATATTAGCCATTTACTACACCTCGTGCATAAATCTGCATGGTGTAGCGAAATTAAGCTTTTACGTACATTAACCAAATTGCAATCGAGCTATGAATAGAATCAATTTCTTTATTAGTGGTTTTTCAAGTAGTGCTAACTTGATCACGGTATGCTCAGATTTGCTTCAAACTCATAAAGATAAGAGACACATTCGTTTCTTCACCTATATCCGAAAAAATATTCTATAACCGCATTTAAGAATCCGGACAATTCAGCCGAGATATTTTGTCTATCATTTTTCCTAATAAATCGGATCATAGTGTACTTGCAATTCATAGTAAATAAGTTTCCCATTCAACTCATATTCCAAGAATCCCAACTTTTTTTTCTTCCGACAAGTTTACCGCAATCAAATGACTCGTGTCATTTCAAGAACTCGAGTATTTTTCTTTGATTAATAAACGAACTTAATTAAAAAAAACGGCAAGTCCACTTTCATATATAGCAATCACCATAACAGCAAAGAGGCAGCAATCATCTAAAATAAAAATATATTCCCAAAAGCAGATCACTGCATATTTTCAGCCACAAACAAAAAGGAAAAAAAAAACTCCATTAACTGATCAAAAGAACATCTCTTTCGGATTACAACACTACTCGATAGTACTAGGTCTGAAAGCTACATAGTTTTTTTCCCCTAATTTTTTTTTAACCTAGTTTCAAAAGAATTTTCAATTAAGCATTGTTACCCTTGTCGGAATCATCGAAAATTCGAAGCCCTGGCTGCATTGAGCGCCGCCTAGTCCTGGACGGCAAAATGTTGTCCAAATCAACCTCAGCAAGTGGATCTGACTCCAAATCACTGTCATCAAGCCCATCGGAGAAATCGCCGTCGGAATCATCGCTCGAATCGTCGGAATCATCATCGCCGTCGGAATCATCATCTTCAGAGTCCTCGATCATTTTGCCCTTCCCTTTTCTGTCTATCAAAACCCCTTTCCCCTTTCTGTCAACATCATCTTCAACTTCCCCATTCGCATCCTCCTCTTGCTCAGAATTCTCCTCGTCTTCCACGGCGGCGCCGTCGTTCAGATGGTCACCGCATTCAGCCACATTTTCGCCGGCGGGGAGCGAAACGGCGCCGTTTTCGGCGGAGGTGGTGTCGACTTTCTGCCGCTTGTTTGAGTCGGCTTCACCGGTTTCCTCCTCGGGAACTTCGTTGATGGATTTCGGGACGTCGATCTTGCGCTTCTCCGGGAATTCAGTTGCTTCATCAGCTTTTTTGACGTCCGCCATTGATGCTGGGGTTTGGGAATTAGGGTTTTGAATTTTGATACTGCACTACTCTCTATTCTGTTGTGGCATATAAATATTATTATATTAGGATATGCAAAATTAGAATGTACTTAAATTTTTTTGAACAGAATTATAATTTAAATAATTATTCTGCTGGATCTGGATTTTGCAAAGAAAATGAGAAAAAAATACAGCTGTAATTAATTAATTTCTTATTCGTATAAAATATAGTTTTTAATTTAAATTATATATCAATGAAATTGTGAGTTTAATGAGTTAATACAACAATTTAGTTTTTCTTTTATAGATTAATACAATAAATTAGTTAAAATACATAATTATTTTCATTCTAATGAATAGTTATTGTTTGGATTGAGATTAATTTCAAATTATTGAAGTTCATCTTCAATTCTTTTTTTCTTTTTTTTCCTAGAGATGTACTATTTTTTATCTACGTGTTTCCCTCTCCACGTAGCAACGAGACAGAATCCCCTTTCGATAATCCCTTTATGCCACGTCTTATCACGAGCGAGTTCGGCCGTACGTAGATATACTTGTTTTTGACTTATTTATTGATTGATAAATAGTTTCTATAAATAAGTAATCATAACATTACTTTTATTAAAATTAGAAGGGCAAAATATATACACAAGTCATAACTACTGTTTACAGAACTTTGTTCGATTAATACTTGATTAGTTAATAATATACGTAAGTCATAACAACGTGGTAATATATTTACGAGAGATCCATGATAAAAATAATTAAATGACTCCTTAATAAATAGCATATTTATGAATAATATATGAAACTTCGTAAAAAAATGATTCGATTATTGTTCTCTTTTCGTGTTGATAATGTTATCGGTTGGAATCTCAATTTGATTTTGTAGTAATTGAAATTATCATATTCATTTTCAACACGTTTATCAATCAATTTTATTTTTTTTGCTTTTCTATTTTTAGATTAATATATACGAGAGAGGTAATCAAAAAAGAAAGAATATGAGTTCTTATTTCTTTTATCACTTGGGAACCGTGAAGAGGAAAGTCTTATGCACGATTTTGAATGAGAAAAAGGGGTGAATTTTCAATATTCCTTTAATATCTCTCTCCACGCAACAGCGAGACAGAATCCCCTTCGATAATCACTTATATGCCACGTATTATCACGAGCGAGTTCGACCGTACATAGAGACACTTCTTTTTTCACTTATTTATTAATTGATAAATAGGTTCTATTAAAAATAACCATATAGTACTTTTATCAAAATTAGAACGACAATATATATACATTCATCAGTTAATACTTGATTAATTAATAATATACATAAATCATAACAACGTGATAAATTAATAATTAATTGAATATGTAGGATAATATTTTACGAGAATTTATATAGACCCATAATATGTATAATTAAATGACCCCTTAATAAATAGCATATTTATGAATAATCTATGAAACTTCATAAAAAATGATCCGATCATCATTCTCTTTTCGTGTTGAATGGTGAAAAAGCAACACAACCATATACCAATTTGTCCAAATTTGCTATACTGTTTGAAAAAAACAACTACGAAGTACAAACTGTATAAATTTTCAGTGTCAACTGTAAAAAAAAATGGTAGTCAATTATATCGTTCCAAGATCAACTATACAATTTGGGTAGTCAACTATAAAATCTCCATAATCAACTATAAAAATTTAGCAGTCAACCATAATTTTATTATGAGTTAACTACAATATCCAATTTAAGGTCGAGATTCTGGTGTTCTAAAAATCGGATCCCAGCTACAAAAACCTTATATTCGGCGATAAAATTATAACATATGGCATTTATAGAATAGAAAATACATTTATTTTGATGACCAAAAAGTGAGATGAATTAAAAACACGCGATATTTGTAAATAAATGAGAGATAGTGAAAGCAGAAGAAAAGGAAATATAGAAATAAAGAAGGCAAAAATATAGAAAGAAAGGGCAGAAGGGTCCAAATATTCATAAAATCAGTTTGGGATTTCTTTACAAATATCCAATTATAAAATGGATCTGAGCTATATTATTTTACGTATTGAGGGGTTTTCCCTTATTTTCTCTAAATTAAATAATATAAATGAATAAGAGTTGAATTAAACAAGGGTTAATATGCAACACCCACTTAGTTTTAAAATTACACTTAAGTATCATGAGGTTTACACCCTTCATTTATAGACCCAAATTTTGGTTTTAATTTGGCTTGACCCCCTTTGAATTATTTCATCTCAATTTTACCCTTAATCCATTCCCACTATATATATAAGGTTCCGTATGAAACGTATTGTAAATATTATCCATGTATTTTATCAAGTGCAGCATGAAATGAACCATGTAGAACTTAAAAAAACAGTTTTAATGAAATTTATGTTTAAAAATCTGTATCAAAAATCGGCAAAGAACTCGATTGAATTTCACTACTAGCTCCACACATTCAAATTTAGAGATTCGACAATTGTTTTATAGAATCCACTCGTTCGAACCAATAACGGAGATCTTTACTTGTTTGAGACGAAAATTGATAAACTGCAAAATCGGCAAAGTTCAAGCAGATTTAAATCAGCTTTATCTCGTCTCTGCCAGATTGCTTCTCCTGGCATTGCAAAAATCTGTGTCTTGTCGCGCTTAATATATATATATATATATATATATATATATATATATATATATATATATATATATATATATATATATATATATATATATATATATATATATATATATAAACCTCTATAAATTAATACAGTCGGGACTAGCAAAATTTTATTAATTTAGCAAAATGTTAAATTATCAAACTAATAATTTAGTAGGTTTTTCATCGAGACGGGATCAGAAAAACTATTGTTTAAGCGAGGTTATTAGTTTATCGAGGTTCAACTGTATTATTACCTTTGAATTCGAATGCTTGTATTAGTTCCTCTCCCTATTCACACTTGGCGGCTTCCTCATTTGCAACTGCCCAAGCTTCCGATTATTTTTGCCGATATTCTCGAATTTTATGAATCGAACGAAATATCAACAACAATAATATCGATTCAAATATAACACCCTCTTCCGTGACGAAAAAAAACAAACATTAGTTCTGCTGCAGCCTTTGCTTGCAAGATTAATCGGACCTTATATCCTTTTGGTCCCTTTCGTAGAACCCCTTTTTTTCGAACGGCTAATTTACACCGATTTATAAACCACGATCAATCCATAACAAGCCCGTCAAGAAGTTGAAAAGCGGGCAAAAGCTTTCTCTCTCTACAGATCAAATCAATCAGCACGCTCCACGTACCGGGCTCCGGTTTAAACCCCGTCTCCACCAAACCAAACAACACTAAACCAGCACCATTCGCATTTCCCGCCTCACAAAGACTAACCAACAACTCATTCGACGTACCAAAATGCGGAACAAAACCCCTATGCAGCATCAAAATCAACAACTCGACCGCCTTCTCGAGTTCGCCTTCTTTGCACAAGAAATTCAACACGATCCTATAACTAGCCTTGTTAAGATAAACACCGTCGTTGGGCAATCTCTCGACCATGTTAATCGCCTCGATAAATCTGCACTCCCTGCACAACCCACCAAGAATTACGTTAAATGTGACCTCATCCGCTCTGCAGTCTTTCTCTCTCATCTCTCTAAGCAGCTCAATAGCTTCGTCGGTTCTGCGTGCCCTACACAAAAAGTTAATCAACGTAGTGTAGAGAACAGTATCGGGCTTCAAATTAGCATCTTTCATCTCGTCGAAAATTTTCTTCGCTTCTTCAAATTTTCCATCTTTGCAAAGCCCGTTCATTAAGGACGAGTAGTTGAATACATTAGGGCTGCATCCATTTTTCTTCATAAATTCGAGTATCTTCCTCGCTCTATCGGATTTCCCTCCGCGAGAAAATCCATTGATTAGTACGTTATAAGTCAATGCATCGGGCGGTATCTGATGCTTCGACACCATTTTCTCGAACAGGTCGATTGCTTCTTCTAATCTGTCGTTTCTGCAGAGACCGTCTATCAAAGTCGAGTACGTGATCAAGTTCGGATACGACACTTGAGCTTTCTCCATCTCTTTCAAAACCTCGAAAGCCGATTCCAAATCCCCCTTCTTACAATGATGCTTGACCAAAATGTTGAAGATACACGTATTGGGCTCAAGACGGAAGTCCTTTCGAGTACTCAATAGGAAAGTCTTCGCCAAATCGATTCGATCCGCCTCGACCAGAAGATTAAGACACGTACTCACGGCTTTCAAGGACGGCTTCGAACGCACAATCGGCACAATGGAGTCGAACATTTCGATCACCCTCTCGTGCATAGACGATTTCGAGAAATGCCTCATGAGATTGAGGAACACGCCCTCGTGGAATTCGCAGGTTTCGTACGACATCCGATGAAGAACGGCATCGACGGATTGATAATTCTTGCACTGCGCAAGCTTATGGAGAATTACAGCGTAAGTGGAGTTGTTATGACAAAAGCCCTTTTGTGCCGACACCTTGTTGAAGATTTCCAACGCTTGTTCTGGATTCTTCTCGCGTTTGATCAAATTGATGGCAGTTTCGTGATTAATGTATTTTCTCTTTCTAGGAGATTCTCTGATTGTAGTATCTGATTCTGCAGAAGGGGTGTCTGCTCTGCTTGATGTTAAAGGGGTGATGAACTGAATCAAAGATGGTGCCGATTCTGCAGAGAGTAAGTGCCGGCGGCTCACGGTGGAAACAACTTTCATCTTATCTGCATAAGAATTACATGGCTCGCCGGAACGCCGCTGTATCGGCCGGAGCGGGGTTAGCGGAGCCGGAACGGAGGCATATAGCGGCTGGCGTGTTCTGAAATAATAAAAGAAGCGATTTTTATCCGACGGAACGGAGATATATGCGGCTCACGCGCACCGTGGCGGCGATTTATCGGACGGAACGGCGGGCTAGAATGGGGTCGGACGGCTTCCGGCGGTGTTCGTGGCGGCGGAAATAGATTAGGGCTGGTGACGCCGACAATTTTATTTTAATTCTCAAATGTTTCAATTTAGTCCCTATATTTAATGACTTCCATTAAAATGAACAGATATATCCAAAACTTACACTTTATAACCACTGAATTAGAATTTTCTGCATTTTCTTTTGGGTAAATTCCACTTTACCCCCTCGTACTCTGCCTGAGAGTCACTTTACCCCCTCGTACTCTCAATTTTATCGATTTACCCCCTTGTACTTGTACAATTTCCCAATACAACCCTTTCCTTCAATTTTTGTCAATTTTGACTCTAACGCCATTTGGTCAACTCTGTAAATTACAAAATTGCCACTGCCTATAACGCGTCGTTTCTCCTCCGTCAATATTGTCATTTCTTCTTCTCCCACCACTTCCCCTTCCAAGATATCCCCAATTGAACCCCTAACTTAGTAAAAATCAAGACCCAAAAATTGATCGATTCCACCCAGTGCAAAAAAAAAATATATGAATGTGTGAAACTTTCTCTTTTCTAATCTCGAGAGCCAAAATCGAAAAAATTCAATATTTACGTCAATATTTTGACTCTTGACCAAATGGCGTCAGAGTCAAAATCGAAAAAAGTTGACGACGAGGGTTGTATTGGGAAATTGTACAAGTACAAGGGGGTAAATCGACGAAATTAAGAGTACGAGGGGGTAAAGTGGTTCTTGGGCAGAGTACAAGGGGGTAAAGTGGAATTTACCCTTTTCTTTTTTCACCTTTTGCAAATTTAACGGTTTTACAGGGATTGTTGTAGCATTGATATAACATTATTTTTTTTATTATAATTTTATTTTGTGAATTATTATATTACAATTTCAATACTAGTAAGTAGTAACTTTAAGGCTCGGTATTGGTCGGTTTTATCGGCCAACCAACCCACTTTGAATCCACTTTTTTTAGCCGATAATTTTTTTTTTCGGGCCGATAATTTAACTGATTCATATATAAATATGTCTATCGGTGGTTTTCAGTTTAAGGGCTCGTTCGGTTACCGATATTAGATTAGATTGGATTACATGAGATTGGATTAACTCCCTACTGACTAATTAATTATTTAGTTAGTAGCATGTTCGGTTTCTTAGATTAGATTTTCTATTAAATTTGTTAAAATCGGTTATTATATATGAATTGTCTATAAAACCACTTAGTTTACAATAATAAAATATGATTTTAAGGATAAAATTGTACTTTTCCTTTTTAGTCACCCCCTATTAAATTAATCTCAGGGGTAGGGGTGCTACTAATTTAATGAAATAGTAGCATTTAATAGCGGGCTTTCATTTTAGTAGCGGGTTTGAAAAAGCGTGAATCTTTCCAACCGGACATGTTATTAGCCCCTACTATTTAGTCAGTAGAACCTTATAGCGGTAACCGAACGAGCCCTAAGTCGCTTGGTCGGGTAATATATGTTAACCGACTTTTTTAATAATAAAAATTTATTGAAAATATTTAATTATAATTCTTATTTTTGTAATGTTAAAAAAATATATAAAATAAGTAAACTCAAAAACTGGAAACACAAACTTATAAACATCCATGTACTATTTCTATTTTGTAATTCTTATTTCATATTATTTTCTATATATTTACTTATTGTAGAAGTTTAATTAAAAAAAAAAAAGCTTTTAATTTTAAATTTAAGATTTTTGCAACATAAAAGATTTGCCAAAATATATTATATCTTCTGAAAAAACACTTTAAAATATCTTATTATTGTAAAAAAAAATCAAATAAAAAATGGCGGATAATACCAACCAACCGACTCATTGTTTACCCCCGACAAAGTTGGTTGTCAACCATTATCGGACCCATAATGGTCGGGTCGATAATGGTTTTCAATATTTATCAAAATCTGTTGGCCAGTTTGGGTAAGTAATAGGTCGATAATTGTCCAACCCAACCCATGCCTAGCCCTGAGTAACTTATTATAATTTTTAAATCTATTTTTAGCATTTTAATTAAAAAGTGTCTGTTTTGGCATCTAAATCCCCGCGACGTTGCATATTATCTGGAACGATGGTCTCCGCAACAATGTTCAAACGTACCATTATATATACTAGCATTTTTTCCCCGTGCGATGCACGAGATATCATTTCAAAAGTGAAAATATTCATTAGTTTAATACAGGATAATAACAATTATAATAAAATTTATTAGTGATATCGATAACAACATTAATATTTATGCAAATTTAATAATATAAACTCATTTCGAAAAAACTATATATAAACTTTATTGCCATAATATAAATTGATCATTAAATAAATGTAACAAAGAAAAATTAGAGAAAATAGGATATAAGAATAATAATAACAATTATAGAAATATAGTGTTGTGCATCAGGACTCCGCATATATTGTGGTTGTGGATTGAAGTTTTTTTATATTCGTTTCTTATACATAATTAGTGATACTAAGCTATATACTATTACTATCTTTTGGATATAAAATGTAAAAATAAATGAAAAATATAAGAAACATGACTAGAGACTATAGTGAAATATAGTCATATTCGACTATAGTCATATTTGACGTAGTAAATTTATAGGAAAAAACGATTCCTTTAAAATAAAAAAATTATTAAAAAAATACGAAAAATGATAAATGCAGTTTAAATAATAATAAATTTGATTTACGTAAGGGAGGGGTATTTTTGATACAATTGATAGGGAAGTCTCACAAATAGTAAATTTTATATGTGAACTTAATGCTATTTTGTAGCGATTTGAGGATCTATTGCTAATGGTCCTAACTAAATAGACTAAACTGTAAAAAGTATCCTTCTATAATCGTCAAATTGCAGAAACCCCTATGAGATAAATAAACTAGCAAACCCTTCCCTATTGAATTATTTATATAACACTCTCGGTCCAATATTCATTTGAGTGTTGATTTGATATAACAAGACACAAATATCCTCAGAGTTTTGCAATTAATAAATTTTTCATTAAATAATATTTTTTGAGGGACAATTTCGTCATTTCACGTCCAAAAATCAGGTATCAGCCGCACATCTGACGAGTGAGTCACACGAAAGTCAACCAGTGAATTATCTGCCATTAACAAAATTTCACAGAGAGTTTTTACTAGTTTATTTATCACACGAGAGTTTTTACTAGAGATTATACAGGGATACTTTTGCAGTTTACTCTTACTAAAATGTCACACATAAGACGAAAAGAATAAGTAGAAAACATATTGGTTAATTGACAGTTTGCACTCTCAAATTGACACTTTACACCCTTAAATTGGAAAAAAATAGTAGAATACACCCTCCAATTACAGTTTATTTGGCAAAGTGCATCCCATAATATAGTGTTGGGAATTTTATTTAATAAAATAAAATTATTTTTTGAATGAAAATTAAAAAATATTTTAGGCACCTATTTGATCAAATAGATGTGACAATATGAAGAGGTGTGGCCACACCTCTTCACTTGTTTAATTTTCTAAGGGGTTGTGTTCATTAATCACAACCATTGGAAACTTATAAATAAAAACTCCACATGTTTGATTTAAAAACAACATAAAAAATCAATTCAATTCCATAATTTTGTTCTATGGAATTCTTCTTTCTTTAGCCCGAAAATATTCTTCGTAGAATATTTTCTTCCGTATTTGATTCGAGAGTTTGACACAAAGTAACGTTCGTTGTACTCGGGATTTTGAGTGCTCGTATGCCGAGTTAGCCGTTGTATCTTGGGAGACCATTGCAAAGTAACCGTAAGCACCGTAGCGAGGTAATATTGTCTTAAGGAAAGAGTATTCTCGCCTCGGCTAATCTTTTCGTATTTTCACTAATTAATTTGTTCGACCATTTTACTAAATTCACTACCCGTTTTATATACCGGGAACAACAATCATAAGACAAGATCTTTGTGAGATTTAGTAAATTGTGTTTTCTGCACACGTTGGTAAACGGGATGGAGAAGAAGATAGTCTGCCAAAAATCAAGAAGTTACAGAATCAAATAGGAGGAAAAAGTTCATTTTCGGACAGAATATGAAGTCCACGTTCTTTCGCATTTTCGAAGCTGTTAAAGTCCGAATATGGAAAATTAACATTTCACAGAAGTTGTAGATAATCAAGTTGGCTTTTCATAACATGTTAAATCGTGACAATCGGAGATCGTATGGAGGAGTTATGATGAAAATACGAAAGGGTGCGAGAACTGCCAATGCACCTTTTCATGAAAAATACAACCGTTCGTGACCAATGCAACTTGTCGCATATTAACGCCTCACCAATGTCCAATGCACGAAATTTTGGTGAAAGAAGACTGAATCGAAGATTAATAATGAGGTTTTATATTATTTTCGATTCATGAATATTATTTAATATTTTTTTTGGTTCCATTGTAGGTGCAAATTTACAGCACACCTATTCCGACTTCGAGGCTTATTTTGATCATAATCCAGTCCGAATCTCAGAAAACGTAAAAGATAAAAGTTGTAGAAAATTGTGTTGGCTATTCGGATCATATTGAATCAATAAAATCGGACTTCAGACGGAAGAGATATGATTAAATCATTCAGCACTGCCATAATATTGACTCGATTTGGTGCTACCCACAAAATTTGAATTGACGAACATATAATTTATCGGGTACATTTTTTAATTATAAGATATCTATTTGTGCAATAAATTGATAATGCTATATGATATAATGGTGGATTATTGCATGATAGTTTAATTTTAATATGTGGAAGAATGGTAAACTATATACAATATATATGCTTAATGAATATTCATTATGTTTGTGTATCTACATTAATGATATAAACAATTTTATCATAAATGCAATAAAGTGATAGGGTATGTGTTAATTATTTGAATAAGTTTATCAGAAACCGCATGACATTTCTCATGAAAATGCAATATTTATTTGCATAAATTGCATATAGTTTGATACGGGATTAGCTTTCTCCCAATTTTCATTTGATGTGGAACCATCCGGTTGATTGATTTTCGAATATGTTATATGAAATTTGTGAGTACGTGATTTTATTAACGTTTTTTTTATTATCTATGAACGATTAGACTTGTCTCGTATATTAAGTATTAACTACTTAGTAAGAGGAATATTATTATACATATTATTATTTGCGTAAGCCATACTAATTCCTTAGAATTGTGTTATTACATGGACATGCATTGATTACGTGCTATAGAATTTATATCAATTCATTATGTTGGACATGAACAACCAAGTTAAAATATATGTGTGAGTGGTAAATCATCAAAGTGATGAACAACCAAGTTAAAATATGTGTGAGTGGTAAATCATCAAAGTGATGAACAACCAAGACACAACAAGATGGCAAATAAAATCAATATGTTTGATTTGATTTGATTTTATAACTTATGAGTTATAAAATGAACAAATGACAATTATTGAAATATTGTCTACATTGGAAGAATGTACGTGGAAGTTAGTTTGTCTTCTTCCAAGTAGTAAACCATTAAGGTTTAGATGGACTATTCAAAATAATGATTAAAGATGGTCCTATAAAGCTAAATTAGTAGCTATGAAATTTTTGATTATTTATAACAAGATATTGGAATCCGTTAAAAGTAATATTTGATAAAATTATGTTATCAAATAATTCTCGTAATAACAAGTGTGACCAGTGTGTTTATATTAAAAGCACATGGAAGTATATGTCTATAGACGACATTATAATCATGAGATAATGATCATGATATTATTTTGAACGTTGAGAAAATATTGAAAATAAAAATAAAATTATGTTTGATGTCAAAAGACGAGGGTCTAGACGATGTAATCTTATAGATTAAAGTCACTAAGACAAAGATAGTCTTATTGAAAGTCTCATGTTGATACATTACTAGAAAATTGATCTAGTTATCTAAAGACCAAGTCGATACCTTGCAAAAAATAATGATGAACAATGGTTCAATTACAAATATTTTTGAATAGTTTGGCAGCATAATGAACTAGTAAATATGTAATTCCAAAATAAATAATCATTCAATGATATTATAAGGGTTCTTAGGTAATCTAAGTATCGCCTTTAAATGTATTACATTAAAGAAAATATCCAATTGTATTAGGAAAGTACATTGGATATATGAGTCCACTAAGATTATGTATCTTGGAAATCCTCAAACAAAATTGAATAGCTCGATTCATGGTCGAATTCGAATATATAACTTGATATAAGGTTAGAAAAGAAGTTGAATAAACTTCAAAAAAATATTGGAGGATGTTCCGTGTTGGACGAAGTCGGTGTCTACAATTATGAATAAATTGTGATAACCAATCGGTTACGTTAAGGGCACAAACGACATGTATAATGGCAAGTATCGACACACTCGTACACATAAGACCATTAGGCAATTGATCTCAAAATAAATAATATAACATTGATTATGAAAATCAATGGTTAATAGCGGATCCGCGACTAAAAGTCAACTAAAGAGATCAAACATATGTCTAGGGGAGTGAGATCAAAACCCACAAATTAAGAATTTCTATAGTGGAAACCCAACCATGATGACTGGAGATCCCAAGAACTGGTTCAAAAGGGACAACTAAGTTATGGAAAATTCAGTGATGCACTAAGGAGTATATATTCCTATGGAATTATATATTTCCAACTCATTCCCGTGATAGACATTAGTGCTGCCTGCAAAGAGGGTAAAGGATAAGCGAAAGCTTTTAATGATTCCAAAACCTTGACAAAAGGTGAGGTATTGGCAGGATACCTTTAATAAGACATCATCTATCTAAGTGTAGAAGTGTGGGCCGCTTCAAAAAGACAAACACTTATGAATCCAAGATGTGCTCCAGGGCCAAAATGGACGCAACCATGAGAACTGATGAAATGTGGGAAAACTATTGTGTGAGATATCATTGTCTTGGTTTACACAAACGGCTGGCAGTTCAAGACATCGCGTTCACTAACTAGCCAAGTAAATCCGATGGTATACTACTAAGGAAGGTTCAAAGCCAAAAGCTATCTATCCCCATTGCAATAGTTTCCACTTGAACTCTCGATAGAATCCATCGTTTTTCGTTAATTTCATTCATGTGGGGGATTGTTGGGAATTTTATTTAATAAAATAAAATTATTTTTTGAATGAAAATTAAAAAATGAGTAAAAAGCAGTTTGCCCCCTAAACTAAGACCCATTTTGAGCTTTGCCCCCTAAACAAAAAAAATTTGCACGTTTTTACCTAAACTCGAGTTTTTGTTGCACGGTGCCCAAAAAGTGGTATATTCCGGTAAAATTCACTGAAAATTTGTGCACGCGATTCACATGTGAAATTGATAGGGTTAAAATTGTCTATTCACTCACATCTTGACCAAGGTTTAATTTTCCCTTTTTCTTTTTCATCTCTCTTTTTCATTTTTCATTTTTTTTATCTGCCAAATCTCTCTCTCTCTCTCTCTAATTCTCAACTACAGAGTATCAAATTCTGCATTTCCCCTGATTTTTCTTATTCTTGTTTCCGATTTGCTTAGTCCAAATTCATCCTCTGTGCCGCCTCCAATTCCCACCCCTTCCGCCGTCGGAATTCCCCTAATCAACTCTACCACAGCAACCCAGGACCCAACTCCGACAATGAGACCAATCGCCCAAACCCCATCCCACAACCTCCCACCACCCCGTCGCGAAACGACTCCATTTCGGCGCGACGGGATATCATTTATTCTTCATTTGGAGTTAATAATTTTCTTCTGGGTAAGAATTTGAGAAAGAGAGCACTGGTGGAGTGAAAGGAGGTGGGTTCTGACGAAAGAATTCAAGGAGGGAAGGGAGAAAAGAAGACAGGTGGACGCCACGTGTTTTATTGCTAATGAAAAGACAAAATCACCCCTGCCAAACTCACGTGAATAGCACGTGCTTAACATTCCGGTGAATTTTGCCGGAAAATACCACTTTTGAGGCAACGTGCAACAAAAATACGAGTTTAGGTAAAAACGTGCAAAAAAAAATTGTTTAGGGGACAAAGCGCAAAAGGGGTCTTAGTTTAGGGGGCAAACTGTTTTTTACTCTTAAAAAATATTTTAGGCACCTATTTGATCAAATAGTATGAAGAGGTGTGGCCACACCTCTTCACTTGTTTAATTTCCCAAGGGTTGTGTTCATTAATCACAACAATTGGAAATTTATAAATAAAAACCCCACATGTTTGATTTAAAAACAACATAAAAAATCAATTCAATTCCATAATTTTGTTCTATGGAATTCTTCTTTCTTTAGCCCGAAAATATTCTTCGTAGAATATTTTCTTCCGTATTCGATTCGAGAGTTTGACACAAAGTAACGTTCGCTGTACTCGGGATTTTGAATGCTCATATGCCGAGTTAGCCGTTGTATCTTGGGAGACCATTGCGAAATAACCGTAAGCACCGTAGCGGGGCAATATTGTCTTAAGGAAAGAGTATTCTCGCCTCGGCTAATCTTTTCGTATTTTCACTAATTAATTTGTTCGACCATTTTACTAAATTCACTACCCATTTTATATACCGGGAACAACAATATATATATATATATATACAAAAATATTCAAAATAGACATTACTCCCTTCTTCCCATTTTATTTGTCTTTTTAGAGAATTTTTTTTTTTATTTCAAAATAATTGGCACTTTAGGATTTCACGAAGTATTTAACTATTTATTATGTTTTTCTCAATTATGCCCTTACTACTCTTAAGATAATTAATTGTAAAATATTTATGAAAGCGGTTTTTTAATCATTTTATTATGATTTTTGTAGAATCAATGCACATTTATTAGTTTTCTTAATGCGTGTGAATTAGACACAAACGACAATTAAAATGGGAAGAATTGAGTATCACAAATTCTTAATTTGTAATTAATCATGTAAATAATTAGGGAAGTAACAAAAATATTTAAAAATTTGCTATTCATAGGTTTTTTTAACTTTATAAAAATTGCAAAATAATCCAGAAAATGAGTGAATCTATATTCTATACGTTGAGAAAGTTGAATTTTCCGTGTCTATGGACCGGGACGTACTACACGAGCAAAATGAAATTGTAATTTCTCAAATCCCTTCGGCCTTCATTGAATTTTCCGAGCTACATCATCAAATCACACGTTTCAAGAATTCCCATTTCTTTCTCTTATATGTAACAAGAAACAACGAAAAACAACACCGTCTGATTCTTTGTTACTACAAGACACCGCAGATTGTCTCTCTCCTCTCTCCTCTCTCTCTCTCTCTCTCTCTCTCTCTCTCTCTAGGTGAGGTTAGTTTGCCAAACTTCCCTCTTTTTCTTTGACGGATTTAACAAAGTCAGTTAATCTTGGACGTTGCTTCTTTTTCAGATGGTGATGTAATCTGAACTGAATTTTTTGACAAAACCCATGTGGGAAATGTAATTTCGCACTGGGTTTTTCTTTCTAATCAGCTTTTTTAGAATCTACTGATTTCAGAAAGCCGCTGTGTTCTTGGTGAGAAACCCCACCTTCAAATCAATTGTTCACATTGCTAATTTTTAATTTCTTTTTTCTCATTTAATAGCGGCGGTAATAGCAAATTCAATTGCGGGTTTGATTGTATTGATTTGTAGAAATACATTTGAGTATATTGTATCTTGTGAATAAAAATTCATACTTTAGGGTTTGATCAAATTATTGGGGAAAAAAGAAAAAAAGAAAAAAAGAAAAAAAGAAAAATGAAGGGAAGTGATGAGTTAGTTAGTGATGGTGATCTGCATACAAACGGGTTGATTCAAAGCACAAACGGTTCTCTAGAAGATAAACTTGACGAACTCCGTTTATTATTCGGTAAAACCGAAGGTGACCCGTTGAGGATCGTCGGTGTAGGTGCCGGAGCATGGGGCAGTGTATTCGCCGCAATGCTCCAAGATTCATATGGGTCGTTTCGCGATAAGATCCAGATCCGAATATGGAGACGGCCCGGAAAATCGGTCGATAGGGCAACGGCCGAGCATTTATTCGAAGTGATAAATTCGAGGGAAGATGTGCTGAGGAGGCTGATAAGGAGGTGCGCTTATTTGAAGTACGTCGAGGGTAGATTGGGCGATCGGGTTCTTTACGCCGACGAGATTCTGAAAGACGGGTTTTGCTTGAACATGGTCGATACCCCGATTTGCCCTTTGAAAGTCGTGACGAATTTGCAAGAGGCGGTTTGGGATGCGGATATTGTTATTAATGGATTGCCTTCGACCGAAACTTGGGAAGTGTTTGAGGAGATTAGTAGGTATTTGAAGGAACGGGTTAATGTTCCGGTTGTTATTTCTTTGGCGAAGGGAATCGAGGCTGAATTGGAACCCGAGCCTCGTATAGTTACTCCCACTCAGATGATTAATCGAGCAAGTAAGATCGGTTTTATTCTGTTTTTATATGTGCATTAAATAAAAGTTACTTTCTTGGATTATGCATCAATGGATTGTTTAGATCTTCGATTTTATGTATGAAATACACAGATGATGGAGGAATCTTGTTTCACGTGTTCGGGTTACCGTTTTTGAATATTTTCTGAAACTTTCGATGTGATTTTTTTTTATAAATCAGTTGCGATTAGTTCAGCCGAATGTGTTCACTCGTTTACTCATATTTGAAGTAGGATTTATAAAATTTTATGTGTAGTGTCAAGCAAGTTAAACGAGAAATGTCCTTCATCTTATAGGCATAACTTTCTGATTAATGTTCGACAAGTTTTCTTGGAGCTGCATGAACACTGAAAGCAAATCCCTTTTTATCGTTTCGGCATTTGATTTGGTATTGCATTCTAATGATTGTTCAAGAAAAAGGAAAAAAAAAAAGAAAAAATCAATCTTGAAATTGTTATGCTGCATAGATGTCTTTAGATTATTCCCGTTTTGTAATTTTGCGATAATTGAAAAAGACGAGTCATTTCTAAAATCATGTGGTGATTTATGCGTCCGTATTTTTGCAGCTGGGATTCCAATGGAAAACATTCTCTATCTTGGAGGACCGAATATTGCGTCGGAAATCTACAACAAAGAATACGCAAATGCTCGTATTTGCGGAGCCGAAAAATGGAGAAAGCCACTCGCGAGATTTCTAAGGCAGCCGCATTTTATTGTTTGGGATAATGGCGACCTCGTCACACACGAAGTTATGGGGGGTTTGAAAAACGTATACGCAATTGGATCTGGTAAATATTTTCCGACCTCAAAAATCAAGAATCGATTATTCGACTGCTTAAGCCATTTTATTGGATTAATTAATTAGCTATAAAAAATTCATTTTTCGTGCTGACAGGAATGGTGGCAGCTCTGACCAATGAGAGCGCGACAAGCAAGTCCGTCTACTTTGCTCACTGTACATCGGAGATGATATTTATTACACATCTCTTGGCCGAAGAACCCGAGAGGCTTGCGGGCCCTCTATTGGCCGATACGTACGTGACATTATTGAAAGGTCGAAACGCGTGGTATGGTCAGAAATTGGCTAAAGGTGAAATAAATCTTGATATGGGTGATAGTATCAAAGGCAAGGGAATGATTCAGGTATATATATATATATAATGCTTTTCAATTTATTTAATTAAATGTGATTTTTTTTTAATTATTTATTTTTTTTCAATTTGCAGGGGGTTTCGGCTGTAAAAGCTTTCTACGAGCTGCTTAGTCAGTCTTGTTTAAATATTCTTCATCCCGATGGAAGCAAGCACATTGCACCGGTTGAGCTATGTCCGATCTTGCAGACGTTGTATAAAATACTTATTCTGAGGTACATTGAATAATAAATATTAGGGTCGTTATCGAAAAAATCGGAACTTTTTTTTTCCTTTTTTTTTTTTTTGCAATGTAATCTGATGAATGTTGTTGTGCAAAAATTGATTAATAGGGAGATATCCTGCGAGGGAATTCTTCAAGCGTTGAGAGACGAAACGATGAACGATCCTCGAGAACGGATTTTGATTGCGCAACGCTATGCAGTCTACAGACCTTCTCTGCTTATAAAATAATTTGTGATAATAAGATATTTTTTAGTTGTTATTACAAATTTTTAGTTACTTAGTTGAAAGAGATTTTATCTTGGAGCCTAATTTTTTTTTTTGAGGGACTAATTTATGTATTTCATTACTACTTTTTTATTTGTTCTTCCTTTTATACTTTTGTGGTTTTAGGTACAAATCACTAGAATTATAGTTTTTGAGTGGGTAAAATACAACGGAAAGTGTTTTATGTGTGTATTCGCTACATGTGATGCACACGTTCAAATGTGTGCGCGCGTGTGTGTACAAATGAACGGTTTTACCTGTTTTACTTAAATTTGATGTAGCACGAATAAATCTAAAATTTGGATTCATTTTTTTTTTTTATGGGTTTGAGTTTGATTTTTTTTTTTTTGAATAAGTGTTATAGATGTTAATCAAATAATATATTTTTTTATTCTTATTATTTTATATTGTAATAACAAATAGACAAAAACTCATTTAAATATAGGGGTAATATGTTAGGAGCCCTTCAACACAAACTTAATTTGAACTAGACGACGATCTTAAATAAAATATCTTAACTAAATCCTTAGTTCAAAATAAAATTTGACCAACATTCTTTTATTTTTGTTTAACCCGAAAATACCCTTAATATAAATAGTAAAAGATTAGATTTATCTCTCATTCTCTCTTCTCACGATCTTTTTTTTCCCACTCGCCACACCTCATTTTTTTCTCTCTTCTTCTCAATCGTTCCACATCTCTCTCTCCTTCTCTCATATTTTTGTCGTCAGTCCATCACGTTTTCTCTCTCATGCAAATCAATGGGTGCAAACCGAGGATGCCACCGCCACTATGCCGAGATCTGAAGATTTTGGGGATCCATCCAGATCCGTCGCCGAGCAGTAGAGTAGAGTGAAGGAGGCGATGCATAGATCTGAAGATCCGAGGTTCTTGGAGACCTCGGCGAGGGTGCGGTGGAGGGAGAGGGTGTAGAAGGGGGCAGCGGAGGTGGGTCTACGGCGATGGCGGTGGTGGTCGTGGTTATAGATCAGATGATGGTTATGGTGGAGGTGGCCATTGGAGATGGTGGTGTGAGGTTAGATCGAAAGTTGGAGGCGATTGCATCAACCTAGGGTTTTTTTACGGCGCTAGGGTTTTGGTTGACGGCTAGGGTTGTTGGATAGTAGTTGGCGGCGGCTGTGATTTGTTTGCTCTGGGGTGTGCCGACGGCTGACAATTTTTTTTTATGCTAGGGTTTGGAATACTACGTCGTAGTAAATTATAGTATACCGCAGTAAATCATAGTACACAATAGTAAACTATAGTACATCGTAAACTATAGTATATTGTAGTATATCATAGTACACCAAATTCTACTACAATATTATTAACAACAGATAAAATTAAAACAAAATATAAAAACATATGTAAATTGGATTAAAAAAAATAAAAAATAAAAACATGTTTTTTTGTAATTTTCTATATTATATAGATAAAAGAGGATTTTTGTTTTGTATTATATTAGTGTAAAAAATGCTTAAATGAAGAAAGAGAAAAGAAAAAAAGAAAAAGAGAAAAAAAAGAAAAGGGGCGCGCTAAATTCCACATTAAAAGTTACTAAATCTCGCACATAAATAAAAAAGTATTCTCTCTCTACAAAAAAAATATTCTCTCTCTACGCTCTATTTTCTCTGACTTCTTTTGAACTTTTTTTTCTAGGGTTTTCCACACTAACAGTTACTAAATCCCGCACATCAATAAAAAAAATATTTTATCTCTACAAAAAAAAATAGTCTCTCTCTACGCTCTATTTTCTCGACTTCTCTCTAACTTTTTTCTAAGGTTTTCGAAATGCTAAGATGTCATCAAAAGTCATTTTTTGTTACGTAATAATCATCAACTAATGTGTCCAACACCTTCTAACGACAAAATGTAAAATTTTAACATTTTCGCCAAAAAATCGTCATACGCAGAGGGCGGACAATCTGGTAGACGAAACATATAGCGAGCACATGTTGGGCGCGTTGTATACTGTATTCGCGTCCAAGGTGGGCGCCGTCTTTGATGCGTCCGCTTCTACTTTAGACGCGATCCATTTTTATCTTTCTTTCTTTTTTTTTTAATTAGTTTTTGTTATATTTTATTTTTCAGACTAATGGGAAAGTTCATTACTCTGAATATTTTCCAAGAGTACAATTGTTTAATTGTAGAGACGATTTAATACAGTGGACGAGAGGCGCAGCTGAAAATCATGGTATTAAGCTAAGTATAGGTGATACTTTTTGTGATATAATATACGTCATCTGGGATCAATTTGGGAAAAGTAAGGTTAAACGAAAGAATGTAGAAAAGTATAATATGTACTGACACGAAAAAATGTAATTGTGGTTTCCAGCTGAAGGGGGCTCTACAAGCAGAGGGTAAATGGGAACTCTATAGTTTACGGGAAGCATAATCATCCTCCGGCTTCCAAGTATGGTCTTTTTAAACAACTCTCACACAAGCAGTATGAAGTTACCGAAATATTTAAATATTTATTAATTATTAAATATTTATTAAATTATTAAATTTATAAATATTTTTAACATTTATTCAGTATTTATAAATTATTAAATTTAATAAAAATTTATTAACCATTAAATATTTATTAAAACATTTAAGAAATAATTGAGTTGAATTGAATTGAAAAAAAAAAAAAAAAAAAAGAAAGAAGACAAATCTATCGCTTCTAATCTAAACGCCCCCAACCCAAAAGAAAATCCCACACACGCTGGTGGCCTGCCATGGACGCCAATTTCATGGCAGGCGCAGCTCTCTTTATAACCCTATACCCCCTCTATAGCAAATAAACTAATTAAATTGAATTTAAAAAAAAAAAAAAAAAAAAAAAAAAAGAGAAAAAAATTGAAAGAATCAAAACCTATCGCACTACTACCCCAGGCGGCCCCCACCTTCAAAAAAAAAAAAAACAAGCTGCTTAATTCGTAGAATAAATTTGAGATGGAATGATAACCTTTCCCGTAGAATAAATTAGAGAAGATTTTCTTCAAGTTCGGTTCTCGAATTATAGTACTATTTTTATGATTTTTTTTCTGCAAGCATAAGGGGAGAAGAAGAACTTATTTCGGGGAGAGATAAAAGACCTATACGTTTGAGATTTTAGAGAAAGAACTGAGAAGTAAATTTTATTATGTGCATGATTTAATAATTTTCATGTGGGATTTAGCATTTCAGAAAAGAAAAACGTGTATTTTGAAAAGATAAAAAATAAAAATATAAGATGGAAAAATAAAAATATCCCAAACTAAAAAGATGATAAATGCAATATGAATTTTAATTAAAGCATATTTTAAATTTGTGAATGGGGGCATTTTGAAATGAATTTTATAAGAGCATCTCCGACCGGTCTCACCATTTTTTTATCAAATCCCATTTATGGTGGTGAAAAAATGGGTTCATCTCCCACCGGTAGCACACCATTTTACTCTTCCACCATTTTTTGTGGAAAAATTGTGTTTTTGGTCTCCAATGGGTTTCACCAAAATTTAGACCAAATATTAAAATAATAATATTTCACCATTTCACCACTTATAGGAAATGGAATTTGGTTTGGTCTCCCATGGCATTTCAACATATATACCCCAAAAATGTAAATCTAATGTTAATCGTAATTTTATAATATTTTATTTCCTAAATATTAATTATAGATTCAATGCTAAGTAATAATTTTCTTAATTATATAATTTAA